AAAAAATGTTCCAAACCACCAACCAGACACAATATGTCATCTACTTTCAACGTTTGCGTTCACTTGCGTACGCAGTTGATGCTACGCTGGACATCGTTCTAGTGCCGTATATTCCTGGCTGCGGAGACGAAGGTCAAAGGCCCTTTGTGGAAGTCACGTGGCAAACATTGCTCCAAGTTTAAAGCTTGAAACGCAACCCATACGCAGACGATGAAGAAGTCATGGAGTTGAAGACATGATGGGAGTACAATGGAGATTGACCACTCCCGGGGAAAAAATCGGAAGAAATGAATCAGTACATACGGAATTTTATACCTGGAAAGTGTTTACCCAAACATTGGCATATAATGCAAAGGGTCCATCTTCCACAAGATTTTTTTTGGTCCATTTTCTTTAATGCATATTCAATCCCCATCTATGATGACATCTCATGGCAACATCTTGTGACTGATATCCTTAAGAAAAAGAAACAATGTTTTTAGCTGATCAGGTTAGTAAATATTCCCCATCAAGAAAACAATTTTTAAAAGTTCATAGCTAGTCTAGTACACAATGCCGGCGAAGGTCCCCCAACGTTCCAGTCAACTGTCATTCCCGTATCCCGACCGCTAGGAAAAGTCACCCCAACTTCTTCGCCCATTGTAAACGCAGCACAAAGATGAAAAAGTACAAAAAAATATCATCCCAAATGTGCAAACACCATGAGAACGCAAGTCGCCCCAATGGCTTCAAACTATATACAAATTATTAACAAAACGATATATTTCGATATCGAAACACCATGTAAACGCATGATTCATGTATGTTTTGGTCACAAATCTATGGGGTTCTGATTTACATCTCAACTCAATATTTCTGCAACCAATTTCTGTGGCCAAATTGCGCTCTTCTTCAAAAAAAAAATCAAATTCATTCCCCAGCTGGTTCTGCCTCAGCCAACCAGTCTATTATAACTGCATTTGAGCCGAGCCCCCAGGTGGGTCTTAAATCACGGGTTCCGAACGAAGCCAAAAACAAGGCCAAAACGAGGCCAGAAAAAGGCTTGCCTCCTGAATGGACCTGGTGGGAGACACACCAATGGGTCACTAAGACCTTGTGCCTGCCAGCTCCGTGGTGTCAGCCTACTTGCACTGGCACAAGCCTACTGTAGGCCAGATGACCACCTACCAGGAAAACTTGTCCAACAAGTTTTTGACCCACAGAAGGACTGAAGCTTCAATAGCACAGGATGAGTTTGGGCCACCCAAAAGTAAGCCACCTCAGCCATCTCCTTATGGGCAGGCAACTTGGCTCAAGCAAGATGTACCCAGGTACAAAACCTTTAGCTGTAGGGGTAGGCAGAGGAACACAGGGTTGGTGGCATAAGCTGGACAGGAATGGCAATCCTGGCAGCTGTCCATGCTGTAACCACCCTGTGAGGCCTGACTGCTTGGCTTGCAAAGCATCTGGCCTTCTTTGGTTTGGTGACATGTGTGGACACACAGGAAACATTTAGGATCACTGTTGCCTTTAGGATCACTGCCCGACAACAGCCTAGCAGGCCAGCATCTACTGTAATTAGATGAATCGGTGCAACTACTCTAGAATGGCACCCCCCGGCAGGGCGACATGTAAACACGTGACTGGATTTGCTCGACGGTCACATGAATGAGTCTGAATGAGCCAGGCATGACAAAACAACAAGTTCACCAGTGTGAACACAAGCTAAATGAAGCAACATTTACTTCAAAAACATTATTTTCTATCTTATGCAACTGCTCCACAGCAACTAAACGCATGTTGGGGCGACTTTCCCGGGATGTCTCTCCCAACTAAAGGCAAGATTTTGGATCGGGCGGGGTGAGTTCACTATAAGCGAGTAGAACTGGAGTAGAACTCTAATCCCCATCAACTGAGTTTAGAAAAGTGCCATTCTACTTCATCATCTTCGACTTAGTCCTCCTTATCAGTTGACGAATTTATTTCTTTATAATCTAATGTGGGTAAAACAATTTTATAAACCATCCCCCAGTCATCACCATTTTTATAGGTGGTAGAAACCATTCCCAAATGGGTGGTTTATGACATTGTTTTGCCCACACTACTGCAGCTCCAGTGGCCGAAGATTTGCTCCGGAGAGACGCCCGGCTGCCGCCATCGCCTGGCGCCGGACTGTCGGATGACAGTCCGAAGTGGAGGTTAAACATATGGGTTCTACTGATTTCAATGATTGAACAGGGGTTGGTAACTGTCCCATTTTGGGTATATTGGACATCACCTTATAGTAGCCATTATAGACCATATACCTAATGGTTGGGTGATGTTCAATGGGGACATTTAATGACCCATGTTGAAAAAAGGTGGGTTTTGATGATTTGTCCTTCAACATCGGTGAAGGTGGGTTTTATTTTTTTGAAAAACTGAATATCACCGAGAAAAGTTCGGGAACTGTTTACCAGAGGGTAGATTAGCTGTATTTAATCAACAATGATCAACATAAGTTCCCATTAAACCACCATGAATACCATAAAATCCCATGAGACCAGCAAAAGGCCTAACCTGGAGCAAAAACCTACCTGGACCTTCTAACTGACCAGGTTCTTGTCTGGCCATGGGTCAAGTCATCCTGGTAGCCTGTAGTTCTCACCCAAAATAGCTGGGACTACTGGATCTTCATCGCCCCAAAATATGGTGCAGGTCTTGACACATCCCCACATCATCATGGGTCATTAAATGTCCCCATTGAACATCACCCAACCATTAGGTATATGGTCTATAGTGGCTATTATAAGGTGATGTCCAATATACCCAAAATGGGACAGTTACCAACCCCTGATCATGCCAAGTTGTGTTCAAAGTTTGAACAAAGCATTGATACATCATAGTAATTGGGTCTGAAAATAGGCTGTACCTTGCTCCACTGGGTAATCATCACTGTCTCTGTTACCATTGCTGTCTGTTTAGGGCTTTCCGGGGTATCCCCCATTTTGTCATGCATAAGTTCCCTTCAACCAATTCTGGGAAAAGAACATCTGGGGTTTTTTGTTACTGCAATATGTACAGTATATATATATGTGTGTGTAAAACCAAGCATATGGGATGGGTGCGTCTTAAAATTCGAAATACATACTGTGTTATGATATGTTATTGCCGTTTTTTATTGGGAAACTGATGATAAAGTCTCGGGTTCTAAACTTGGAGGTAACCGCCATGCACTCAGCAGGTGATTCATCGATGTTCTGTTGCAATCTTTGGCACCGGACGGTAAGCTATACACCCAGTAGTTCATTTAAACTAGACCTACAGTTAGTCTTCTTTCACATTCAACAATACAGTGCGTTTCCAACAATTACATCAATACGAAAAACAAAGTCATGTATTTCAGGACCAGGAAAATGTGGCCCTCCAAGTGGCCCCAAAACACATGGCTGACGCTGACATAACGTTGGGGGATTCCTTAGGGATCTTCTGACGTTGGGGGATAACGTTGGGGGCTATGTAACTTGGGGGCTTAACATGGCACCATCTATGATCTCGATGTTTGATAAACCATGCATCCAGAAACCTTTTTTTTGAAATCGGCAAAATGACTCTGACGCTGAATTAGATTCCCAATACATGGGTTATGGTAATCTCCATATATTGCCAAAGTCATCAACCATCATTTGTCAATCATATCACCATATTTAGGGGCTATACTATGGCTATGATCATTCCCAACCATCCCCAATTACCTGCCAGTAAACTAACATAGCTAATAGAAAATCACCATTTGATTGGCAGATCATCTATAAATTGGTCTTTTCCATTTTCCATAGGAACTGTTAAAGTACCAGAGTGTAAATCAACGATAAAAAGAGGCTATGAAATTCATCCCAATCATCGCTGCCTATTTCTGCCCCAGCTCCTTGCCTGGGGGTGACAAGCACACGCGCGCACCAACCGCCCATGTGGTCTCTGGCGAAAGCGACATGCAAAGTCAAAGACGCTACTGTTCCAATGCTATGGGTTTTGCATGTCTTACCACTGCTGAAAGTGTGTGGGATTTGAAGCTGACAATAAAAGAGTGTGGCATGCAAAATTGTTACGTTTCAACCCTTCCAAACAAAATGTCCTGCTCAAATACATGGACGTGAAAGAAATGATGTGTTTGTTGGTGATTCTCCTGTAGTTGGCAGTTTGCACCAAAACCCAAGGGCAAATGGGAGGTGCATTTGCCTCATGGTGCCGGCCAACATAACTAGCCATGGGCCGTAGATGTGTGTCTTGAGTTTTGGCCCGGAAAAAAAGGCGTTCCTGCTCCTGCTCCTAAGATTGCTACAGTAATCATTTGATGGATTCTTGAGCAGGATGTGCTTTGGCTCAACATTCATTTGGTATCGGGTCATGATAGAAATGGGCCAGCGGCCACCTGAGTTTTATCCACACTTTTTACTTACAAATCCTGGCCTCCTTTTGCTTGGTTTCATCTTTCACTTTGGTGGTTTCCTCCCGGTGATTTATGCTGGTAAGATTTCCGAACAGCTAAATATGTCAAATCGAATTCTACCACGTGTTGATTGTCCGTTTTTCTGTGCCATTGCATCTCCTTGCTTCCACTAATCATAGATGATGAATTTTGGGGTCAACATGCAGGGACAGCACGGATCACCCTGGCTCACAACTGTTCAACAGCTAACCAAAAATCCCAACAGAAATCCTGTTGTCATACCTAGGGAAATCGCGAAGCATCCATTTGGTCATGGGTCCAAACCGTGTTTTGATATCAAAGTTTCTGGAGTTTATGGATCTTTGTGACCCCTTTCACAAGGTATCACAATGTATCATAGGCATAGGCTTTGGCCCATCCCTGTTTGTGGCTTCTTTCATCCCACTATCAACAGGTGAGGACCTCCTGTGCTGGCCAGTCCTTGCCATATGCGTGGGGCCCAAAACCTTATCAGCCTTATCAAACATCTCACCCAAACGTCATCAAACAAATCTCCCAGGGCCCAACCAAAGGGTCACGCCTTGTTCGCATTTTTTCGCCACCTTTGGACGTCAGCGCAGCTCGTAGCCCTCGCTGCGCGGCTTGCGGCCAGGGACTTTCAGGTCAAAGGACACTTGGTAGCCTTGGGCACTGGAATCGGTTGAGGATTGTCCCCTAACGGCCATGTTTTGGGGAATCGGTTGGGGATTCCCTTGTTAGGCACCTATTGAATAAGGCTTAATTGACCATCCTAACATTTACCACCAATGTTGATTTACCAAAATAAAGCACGTTAACCACCAAGCATAGCGAATTACGAGAAAATCATGGGGAAATTACCACCAATGATAGGGCCCTGATAAGGAAATGACAACCAAAAATGACGGATTTGCACCATGCCGAGCGATAAAATGCAATAATTCACCTATCTGGTGATGATTCCCCTTACTGATTCCTTATAATTTAGTCTATCCAGACTATTATATGATATCCCATTGAATCCCCATGAAATATCTCCATAATCACCCAGCATATCCCCAAAACACTATGATCAAGCCGTCAAAAATAAGTCCGTCTGAAAATGGTGTATACCCTTAGCACTTAGCAATTCTGATAGGGAAACATGATGTTTTACCACTGGGTTTCAAAGGTACCATAGTTTCAGACACACCCAAAATGTGTGGTTTAAAGTGGGGGATCCCCAAAATAGATAGTTTATAATGGAAAACCCTATCCCCATGACAAAACGGAAACCTCCAACGTCGTTTTCGGCAAAGTCTCCTCTGCTGTAGACCTCATGCTTCTGGAAGGTTACTGTGCCTTGAACCTCGCATCCACCGCCTCCTGGGTCATTTATGGTCATGGTGATGACACCTCATGAGGTTATTTATGGTTTTTGTTTCACCCAAACTGGGCGGTTGGGTCCCCATGTTCCGATGAAATCTGCCCTTGCCTACTTTATGAGGACAACAAATCAGAGATTTGTTCAAAATATCTCTGAATTACACAGATTCCTATCCCTTTCCCAAAGCCTTCACATGAACCATCACCATGCCCCGTGATTCTCTGCAAACCACCTACGTTTTTCTAATGAATCAGTTATGTTTATATAGACAAGTTCAGTAAGTCCTCTGGGGTTATCCATGGTTATCCCATATATAACTGGGTTATATGGTTCTTAACCACTTAGCAGGGATGATTCTCCAAGCAAAAAAAAACAAAAAATACTAATTTTTCATCATTTTTCATCATTTTTCATCATTTTTCATCATTTTTCATCATTTTTCATCATTTTTCATCATTTTTCATCATTTTTCATCATGTTTCATCATTTTTCATCATTTTTCATCATTTTTCATCATTTTTCATCATTTTTCATCATTTTTCATCATTTTTGTTCCAACCTTCCAGCGCTTCCCGCAGGTAGAAGGCCGTCTGCTTCCAGTGTGTTGCCGGTCTCGTTGGTGCCGTGGACAACGTTTCGCCGAAGTCGCCCGGGAAGTCGCACTCGAACCAGGCCACGAAAGCATCCAAACGGCGCCCAGCAGGGATGGATACCGACCTCGGGAAGATGGGCATACAAAACTGTACTGGGGAAAGAAATGTGTATAGAAATGTGTATGTATATCTATACAACAATATATTATAGTTATTAGTTGCTATAGGTAGGTATAATATGTATATGTATATTTATATTTATTTTTATATGTAATTATATTATATTATATTATATTATATTATATTATAATTTATTATATTATATTATATTATAATTTATTATATTATATTATATCATATTAGATTATATTATATATAATATAGTATATATATATATAATAATAATATGTATATAATAATATGTATATAATAATATGTATATATACGTAACTTATACGTATATCTATGTGTAAACAAATGCAAATGCATTTCTATATCAATTTTCATGATGTGTCCGTACATACATGCATAGTGAGAAACTGGATGAAATTGGTGATTCTGCTGCCACCTTCCCTGCGTTTCCCGGGGTGACCATCATTCTTAGGCGGATTTTGAGCGACCTACACGGGCAACAAATCTTTTTTTTACAGCCCAGCATCATCATGGCATCAAAGTGTTCCAGGTCGACAATCTGCCTCAGGCAGTTCAAACCAAGCTGGGGCGAGTTGATTGGTTTTCACGCAGCTGGCTATGAGCTCCTATGTGAATGTCTTGGAAGGTGTTTTGTTTGCATGGAAATCGTCGAGAATAACAAATTGTACTCTATTGTTATATATTGTACATATTGAGGTAGCACACCACTGAACAGACGGGATGTGTATATGTGGTCCTGTTTTTCCAAGAAGGCTTCCACCACATTGACCACTGCTCATGTCACTTACTCACCAAAATTTTCATGTGTGTGTGTGGAATTGTATACATACATAATCATAGAAGTATATAAATATGCGCTTACACATGCACATACATATAGACATACACACGTGCAAATACACGTAATCGCAGGAAGAAATATACACAAAACAAAGATCTAGGAAAGATGTCCACTGATTGGTGTTCCCATGACATCCTGTGGCCAACTCAACATGTGATTTCACTCAAAAGCGGGACAAAGACCACCATTCGATCATCATGCCACAGTCCGACAGGATCGGGTGGAAGGGAGGAAGCTTTTCCCTGAGATGCTGATAGCCAAGTGTTCTGGAGTTGAAGGGAACACGTACAGGAAACTATCGTTTTTACATTCAAAGTTGGCTGAGTATGGTTTATTTATGTTTATTTATGACAAGGAACACGCAGTCTAAATCTGACAGTCCAACAACTCTTGCTGAAATCGCTATTGTGGACGACAAGGAGCACAAGTACAAAAAAGTTTGCACACCGGTGTCCATGCAGGTCACAGGCATACATACGTTTTTTTATTGGATAAACCCGCTGCAGTATACCTTGATGGGTAGGATGAAAACCTGAAACAGGCCGCAAGGCTGGGTCACGCCGGCCGCCAAGTGGCACTGTGTGGAGATCTGCTTCAAAGATGACTTGCGGATCTGCCAGAAGTTTGGAAGCATCCACCTCTCAAGGCGAGTTGGATCTGTCTGAAGTGGCTTCTGGATACGTTTTCCTCCATCCACATGCGAAAATGCTCCCTTGGGTATTTTATAATATTTTGTATGTATTCCCCTAGAAACATGGCTGGGACAAAAATTTGTTGGTGCTTGGGACGTCCATCCAAAATAAGGATACTGTAGGCCACATCAATATGAAGAAAAGCGAGGTCGACCTATGCATACGTTGTAGACATACATGTGCCACTTAAAAAAAGGCATCCTAAGCCACATAAATACAAGTACTGCAACTCCAAAGCAGATCTTCACGATTACTGATCTGTGTTGTCGTGTTTCTGTGTGTGAATACTATATACACGTTGAAATGTGCACTCTTGCCAAGGCCGAATCATGACATTTTTCGCAAGTTGAAGACAAAAACCCCAAGCTCCCCATAAAATGACCCAGTCATCCCAGCCCTCTGTACGTCAGGCAGCCAAGTGATGCTGCGGCGTGCCGCAATAAGTCGCCCTGGCCAGCGGAATTAGAGAAGACCTCAGAGACGAAGTCAGAAGATGGAGATGGGGTTAGTAGTGGGATTTATTGAGGAAAAATTGGAAATAATGGGGATTTAATGGAGAATTCATGGAGAATCATCGTTAAGAATGGTGAGTAATGGTGAATCATTGATAATAATAGATACCAATAATGGGATATATACAACATGATATACCCTCGAGTTATCAAACATGGCGAGGCGAGACAGCATGGAAATCCGCTAACCAAATGGAGGTTTACAGCTGGGAAAATCATCTATGAAATTCTACAAATGTTGATTTTCCATTGCCATGTTTGATTACCGAAGGGAAACCATGGGGCTACTGTGTATTTTGAAATGTATCCAACTCCTTCACAACTTCACTGCATCTTGAAGGATTTGATGACCCTTTCTGAGCAGCATCCCGCAAGGGCACCAGAATGCCACAAAAGTCACCGGCTGGCCCAAAGGCACATCCCTGGGCCAAGGGGCATGTCGATCCCATGCACCGAAGTCCAAAAGTCCAACTTCTGTTTCCTCCAATCCTGGTCTTCCAGGGGTGCCAGCAGCAAGCGACATTTGGAGGGCAACATCATGCCTCCGGGCTTCAGATATCTGTCGCGCACCGACAGCACTGAGGGCAACCTCGGTCATGTCAAAGTGATACAGCCAAGTCGAGTCCATCGGGATACAACAGAACCAATAAGAGGAAATTATTCATGGGGGCATATCCAACCATTATGGGTCCAGAAATGGGATTTACAGTACCACCAATATTAGCGGCCATACCTTGTGAGAATAAAATGACTGAATTACAGGGTCGCTTATTCTTACGAACCCATCTGTCAAATCCATTAAAAAAAGAACGTCTCCGGGTTGGAATCAGAGCGACATGTTCTCAAAGAGAAGGCAGTAGCCCATCCTGAGTGCGTCCAAGACTTGGCTTAGCACACGGAAAGCCACCCCCAGGTGTGGTGGTTGGGAAAACCCATTTTTTGTGTGTGAAAGGATGAGAAAATCATATATAGTAATAGCAGCCCTCAACAAAATAGAAAAGTAAGTTCTTACTACTATTTCAGTAGGATGTGATTTCTCTATCTTCTTGGGAGATGCTTTTCAAGCTCCCTCAGTTGCACTGGGGGTTGTCCCTTTTCAGCAGGGTCTGCAAAGGACTGATCAAGAGGTAAACTATGGGGAATACAGCATAATACATGGGAATACCGGAATACCATACATAGTTATCATTGAACCAGCAAAAAGTGTACAGGAGAACACTCTTGCTTTGCTTTTTGGGGTCTATATTGGTGTTTTCATGTGTTTGTGATTGTACGTGTACAAGTCTGTACATATTCATTCTTTATTTATCATTACAAAGGATTAAAAAAAAAACAATTATCAGTTAAGATTCGGTAAATCCAATCAAAAAAACACTCATAGAAAGGAGAAATTTGCTGGAAATACCTGAGTATTGCT